CATATGTTGGCATAAGTTGTCTAAAACATTAGAGTTTGATAGGACCTTCACAGAGGGGAGGCTAGCATGCACCTGCACCACCGGGTCCTCTGACCACTACCAACAGGCATGGTGGGTGAAGTGTGAGACACTGGTTACAGGATGGCCACTCTGTCACAGCCACCCCATAAATATTGTCATTATTTGTAAAATTGGTTGGGTTTTAGCCATTTTTTTATATTGGCTAAGGTAAGGTCAAATAATTGTGGTGGCCAACTTGACATCAATGTTTTTCAGAACAAAAGCAATATTGTCCTCTTTCTGCTCTTCAGCACTAATAAAATATTGTGTTAGATTTAGGGTATATCAAACCAACTTAATATTGTTGCTGGATTTTATTTTTTCTTTTAGCTTTTTGAGAATTAATTTGACATCAGTGAAAGTCCACTCACTGCCTGTTGAAACGTTTTTTTTAATACTATGCCTGTTAAAAAAGAAAAATATTTTTTTCTACTGTGTTTTTATTTTATGTCCCTTTGGACTGGAACATCTGACAAAGACCATGTAAAAAAGTTATATAAATGGCAGGGCCTCMTGCTTTCAAATATAAATCAGAATCTGGCTGGAAGCTGTAAATTCCTAAATTAAACACAAATCCATGTCTACACCAGATGATTAGAGTCTACTGGCCCCACACACCACTTTTGCTACACTGGCCATATGCAAACAGTCAATACCATGGCTCCCCTTCATTCACTGGCATTTTGTTTGTACTTTTTAAGGCAAAATAATGGCTATAAAATCCAATCTGGAAGGAATAAAATCTGATGTAAAGCTCAGATCTCATTCCCTGAAGACTGGGTTAATTGGCCCGGTGGTTTAGTAAAAAGGCAAAAAAAAAAAAAGGAGCACAGGAGAGAGGGAAGAGAGAGAGAGAGAGCATTATTACTGGCCCACCTCAGCTCCGTGCATGTGCCAAGGCTTTAATAACTTCCTCCAGGCCTCCTGGCCCTTAGCCCTTGTTTTCATTGTGCAGGACAAAGAGCTGCCCTCCTGAGCTGGTTTCAGATCTGTGTTGTGCTCCCCCAGTTTCATGGGAAAGTCTGCCAGCGTGAACACCTGGGCAGAGACCTAACAGATAGTCCTGTTTATGTGTGTGTGTGTTTTAGGTGAATTCCATTAGAGTAAAGCGTTCCCAAATGAAATGGCAAAAAGCAGCAAAACGTAGCGTACTGTATTACCAAATCCCGCTGTGACTCCATTTCATTTAACCTCTCATCTCAGCCTCATTTACACAGGCGTCATAGTGTGTGTGTGTGTGTGTGTGTGTGTGTGTGTGTGTGTGTGTGTGTGTGTGTGTGTGTTGGCAGAGTAAATTGGCTGATTAGGTCCAGCATCAGTGACTGCGTAGAGCGGTGGCTGTAGCTGTTCTAACTGGTAGTTGACCTTGGTGGTCAGCAGAGGAAGGGTCCTGTGACTGCGTGTCAGAGAGACAACTGTAATTACCACAAAGTGAAGCCTGACATCGCCCACTATGAGTCTTTAATGAAAGCCTTAACGGGTCTGAACACTGAGCTGCAACCCTTTCTCTGCATGGGAGGAAATCAGTCTCTCTGTCTGTCTGTCTGTCTGTCTGTCTGTCTGTCTGTCTATCTACTGACCTACCCATCTATCTATTTATCCACCCATCTACATACCCATTGATCTACCCAGCTATGTATTTATCCACCCATCTATCTATTTATCCACCCATCTACCTAGCCATCTACCTACCCACATATCTACCCATCTATCTACCTATCTATCTACTAGAGTTGGGCGATATTGGCAAAAAAATTAATCACGATTAATTATGGTATTTAGACGATAACGATTAATTTGACGATTAATCGCCTGTAGTCTCTGGATACCCTTGTGTCCTGGTCACATGACCAATTTAGTGGGAAAGATTCGCTCTTCGTAAAAATCTTTTTCAAACTGTGTCAAAATCACAGACTTCAGGTTGTACATCAAAATTTAAATTGTGTTGATAAATAAATTACAGAACTTTTGTTTAAATATTCGTCATATTTGAAGCGGAGAGGAGCACTGAGCGGACTGACCGGGGAACTATCCAGGCAGTCTGCCTGGTGGCATTAATCATATTAATCGTCAAGTGCCAAAAAACAATCGATTAATGTTTTTTTGACGATTAATTGCAGACGATACGATTATGCCCAACCCTACTATCTACCTACCTACCTACCTACCTACCTACCTACCTACCTACCTACCTACCTACCTACCTACCTACCTAC